CCGCATCCTCCGCCCATCTCACGCTGCTCCCTTACCACCGCCCGCACCCTCCGCCTATCCGTGAGCCGTCGGTCCCCGCCGCCGCCATCCGTCACGCATCAGCCAGCATGTCACACGCCGGTGTCGTGCGGACGGCCAGTCGTGCTCGGCCCGAATGTGTCCGACCAATGAACGGTCGGAAATCACGCCAGCGAGCCCGGCTGCCAGCGGGTCGGCAAATATTACCCGCACCGCGGCCCAACACTGTCGGGCGGCGTCACATTAATCTCACGGCTGAATTTCGTCCGCGCGCGAACAGACGGGAGTGTAAATGTTACCGACACGACATCGGGAGTCGGCCGCCGCTGTAAATCACGCGGTGCTCCGTGCCCCCTGGGACGCCGCTGTGTATCGCGCGGGAAAGTCACGCTAGCGCGGCGGCGAACGCCAATCGAATCTCCGCGAGTTCGACAGCAGTCAGGCCTCGTAAACGGACGCCGGCCCGCGCCGAGTCGATATAGCTGGGGGCGGCTCCTCGTAACGTGGGCTTTGGGACTGCATTTCGGTCGGCGGAGACCGGGCGGAGTCCGTCGGGAAGGTTTATTGCGAGCGTCCCGCCATCAAGAGGTGGCTGGATGGGTGCGTGGCGAACTCGACGGGCAAATCCTCCCCGACAACAAAAACAAAACTCCGCACTGCTCCAAACGGCGACCAACTTTCGACCTGACGCACGCAAACTAGAAGTCCGCGGGCAGTTCCGAAGAACGCAATGAATAAACGCCGTCGTTCTCTCGGCTCGTGGGCGAGCACTGGCAGAAGGAAACCTGTGGGGTGCAAAGGCCGGCGACCTGGCGCGAAGGTGAGCGGCGCATATACCACACCGGCCACGGCCGGCAGGGCACCATAGGGGCGGCTCGACCGATCAGCTCCCGGCCAATAAGACAAATCCATCCCAAGTCCCCCGCCCAGCCCAGTATCGCATCTGCACCCTCTGCCCCATCCTCTCCCAAAAAACTCCGCACGGTCACTGAGGAACCGCACAATCCCGCCCACCCTAGGACAAAGGCCATCCGGCGTGGTGCGTACGGTGGAGCCGCACGCAGCCGGCGTCTTTGTCCCGCTGCCGCCGGCGACAGGGGCGCCAGGCAGTCAGCGCACGGCTGGAGCCTTTGTGCGCGGCCGCCGCCGGGCCGTGCTATACAGCCACCAGTGCTGGGACGGATGTCAAGGACTGCGCCATTGTCGCAGGTGAGTCCGCGTAAAAAAGCGCGCGGCGCCGACTGACGTCAATAACGAACGCCAGCAGCGGCGAGTGTCCGTCCGCCGACGTTGCTCGGCGCGCGCTCAGCACGCTGTCTGTACAACGAAATCTGGGCTCGCCGGGTACACCTCGAGGTCAGGAAAGCCGTCGGCGTTCGTCAGATGATTGGTTCACGGCGTAGGGAGTACGATCGGGGCCCGCATATCGCGTGCAGGCACGCGCACAAAGCACACATACGCATGCCACTCAGCAGTCACGTTGAATGTTATCACGGATGGTCTCCGCGCGTTGTCCACTGAATACGCCACTGAACGACTGGAGCTCCCGAGACTGGATGCGACGCCATATATCGACGTGGGTCACCTTAGCAGTGACAGCTGCAGCGCCAGTGAGTGGCAGCCTTAATGCACAGGAGCTTTGCGCTCCGTGATCAGGCCCCAGGAGGTGCGACGGTGGAAAGTCAGCGCACTTCGGCGAATCTTAACGAGCAGCACCGCGGTGACGTGATCACGGTCGGTACCGCCAAGAGCCTGCCACGCGCCAGTCGTATCTAGGCAGACCTCATTCTGGGCGGGATGGGATTGGGAAGTTAGTCCAGCGCACAGTGTCCTGGTGCTCTTGCTTTGCACGGTGATATGAGTCAATCTGTCGCATTGACAGGTCTCATGCGACGGATGTCCCCGTCTGCCGGCCAGTCTCCCCCGAGCACGACGGTGCCGCGTGGATTGGTACCTGTCCGTCTGCCGCCCACACACGTGGACGTCCGTCTCGTGTGACGGGTGCCTGCTCGTCTGTCAGCCTCACCTGAGGACGTCCGTCTCGTGTGACGGCTTGGCCCAGTCTGTCAGCCTCACCTGAGCACGTCCGTCTCGTGCGACGGCTTGGCCCAGTCTGTCAGCCTCACCTGAGCACGTCCGTCTCGTGCGACGGCTTGGCCCAGTCTGTCAGCCTCACCTGAGCACGTCCGTCTCGTGCGACGGCTTGGCCCAGTCTGTCTGCCTCACCTGAGCACGTCCGTCTCGTGCGACGGCTTGGCCCAGTCTGTCAGCCTCACCTGAGCACGTCCGTCTCGTGCGACGGCTTGGCCCAGTCTGTCAGCCTCACCTGAGCACGTCCGTATCGTGTGACGGCTTGGCCAAGTCTGTCAGCCTCACCTGAGGACGTCCGTCTCGTGCGAAGGCTTGGCCCAGTCTGTCAGCCTCACCTGAGCACGTCCGTCTCGTGCGACGGCTTGGCCAAGTCTGTCAGCCTCACCTGAGGACGTCCGTCTCGTGCGACGGCTTGGCCCAGTCTGTCAGCCTCACCTGAGCACGTCCGTATCGTGCGACGGCTTGGCCAAATCTGTCAGCCTCACCTGAGCACGTCCGTCTCGTGCGACGGCTTGGCCAAGTCTGTCAGCCTCACCTGAGCACGTCCGTCTCGTGCGACGGCTTGGCCCAGTCTGTCTGCCTCACCTGAGCACGTCCGTCTCGTGCGAAGGCTTGGCCCAGTCTGTCTGCCTCACCTGAGGACGTCCGTCTCGTGCGAAGGCTTGGCCCAGTCTGTCTGCTTGGGGTCGGACAGCCGAAGCCCGATGATGGTGTCCAGCTCTGAGCGCAGCCCCTGAAACAGGCAGACAACGCTGGACATTGTCGGGAGGCGTGTGCCCCAGGCAGGTAAGATGAGCGTCTGACAAAGCGTGGTACATTCTTAGTAATGATAATCATAATTGTGCACGAACATGCCAAATATGTCTGCATAGATATTAGCAGTGGATACCTCCGGTGCTATGATGACCCGTCTATCATTCTCAGAGTCATTATACACAACTGATCACACGCGTCCAGACGGCCCGTCCTACGTTCGTCAGCCCTAAAATATATATGCACTTAACAGTTATTGGGTTTTCATTCTTTCGAAGTAAAATATGTCGCAGTTTATCATGACTCTCATTCAGGCTAGCTGCTGTTACGTTCATTCCATGCTAATAATGTAATATACGCTTCAAGCTGCCCCTTCGGGATCTTAAACACTGAAATGGATGGCCGGAACTATTTAGCACAATACATTCGTTCCGGAGCAGTGCAATTAAGTAAGTGGCATCCAATTATGTGTAAAGCACGGTCCCAACAGACGTCATTTGAAGGGGCGGTTCTGAGCATTAAAGACACTATCGTATGTTCAGTTTGATGAGTTTCCATGTTGAGGTGGGTAACACGTGATTCAATGTGCCAAAGGAATTACTTTTTTGCCATTTCTTTTTCTTTTTGTGTTTTTTTTTCACAAACCGCCGGCTTCTCATTGGTCCCGACGAGATTCAACAGCGCATATTGAACGGCCGTATGATGACGTCGGCCAAAAACATTGCCCGACGCTTCCGTACCTTTGGTCACCGTTTCAGGAAAAAGTGACGGGATTACAGGTACAGTTGTGTTCTAATGCCCTCAAAGCCACGCGGTATTGTATTGCAAAAGGTGACGAAACTGTCCCTGTTCAGACGCTCTCAAAGCATAAACCGTACCACACGAACTGTTTGAAAAGCAACGATACTCACCATAATTCTCTTAATACGCAAATAGTGCGAGCGCTATCGATGCGGGGTTTTTACAAATATGTTTTTATCAAATCCACGGCGATATGCTGCATCGCCTAGCTGTACCACCAGTCTACCATTCCATTCTTCTCATCGATTATATTACATTCCATCCATCCATACCATTCCACCTTCCCATTCCATCTGCATTTACCCTCTCTCTCTCTCTCTCTCTCTCTCTCCTCTCCCTCTCCCTCTCCCTCTTCCTCTCCCCTCTCCCTCCTCCCCTCTCCCCTCTCTCTCCCTCTTCCTCTTCTCCCTCTCTTCTCTCCCCTCCCTCTCCTCACCCTCTCCCTCTCCTTCTCCCTCTCTCCTCCCTTCTTTCTCCCTCTCCCCTCTCCCTCGTCTCCTCTCTCGTCTTCTCTCTCTCTCATCTCCATCTCTCTTCCTCTCTTCTCTCTCTCTCTCTCATCTACTCTCTCTCTCTCTCTCTCTCTCTCTCTTCTCCAGCAAATATTTTTACCGCAATTGTGCGTCCACGGCATTTATTTTCCATTTCCCAAGTCAATTTGTGGAAGAGCATGTCCCAGCTGATGTGATTATCATCTGGAGAGGTAAAGAGGTGCTGTTCCGTCCGACAAGGAGAGCTCGTTTGAGCCCAATTACAAGATCATACGGGCAGCATAATGTTCGAATTTCTTTTCAAACATGCAGGCCACGGCCTAGCGTACGAAGAAAAAGCATCTACCAAATCATATAAGGTATAAAAGTAACTAACAAATGTAGAAGTAAAGAACAAGCATCACCGCACAGTCAAAATCTTCCAGAAGCATAACGCGATTTCTGTGCATATTGTGTGCACATACAGCTGTGTGAAGATATCACCCCGGTGCTCTTACATACATCACTCGGGTCGGGTCGCGCCAGGCACAGTGCAAGCAAGCATATTTATTGGATAGCTGCAGCGAGACACACTCCGCTGACGACCCTCCTCGCAATGACCCGCCGCAAGTCACAGCAGATCACAAGGCGTAATGGCCTCATTCGGCTGATTGCCGCGCCCCAGTGAAACGGTCACTTCATTACGCCAGGTCTGCCGTGGCGCCGTCAGGTTAAGCCGACGGTGGTGGCGGCACTAGGTCAAAGCCCCGCCCGTTTGTCCTGCCGCTGGATCACGATGCTCTCCTCCCCCCACGGGTAAGCCTACGGTCTCTCTGGCCGGTCCCGTGTGATCCGCTCCCCATCCCACGGCTCGCCGAGCTAGAGCCGGCTGGGAGCGCGAGCTGCTAGAACGCGACTCTCCCTCCGCCCCCCCCCCCCCCCCTCCCCATCCCTCCACACGGTAAGCCCGCGGTCTCTCCGGACAGTCCCGTGTGATCTCCTCCTCATTCCACGGCTCGCCGGGCTACGGCCGGCTGGGAGGACGAGCTGCTAAGATACGATTCCCCCTACCCCCCCCCACACGGTAAGCCCACGGCCTCTCCGGCCGGTCCCGCGCGATCTCCTCCCCATCCCACGGCTCGCCGGGCTACGGCCGGCTGGACGGGAGCAGCCAGCCGTTTGGCGGCGCCGCTGGGACTGATTGACTCGGCGACTGTCGGCGGCCGGCCGGCGACTGTCGCCGAGACGGCCCGCAGGCGGCAGGTCATCGATCGCCGCCCGTAGGACGCACGACCCGGCCCGTGCGTGCGTGCCGGCACGGCCACGACCCGCGCTCGCGACTGAAGTCGGCCAGGACCGGGGCGCCGGCCGGGCCGGTAACGGGACCGGAGCGGCGCGCGAGAGGCGCGGAAGACCCAGGACCGGAGAACCACCGACCGAGCGGCCGGGGCCGCGACTTGGCACGTCGGTCTCGGACGCGATCTCCCAAAAGGACAGCGCGACCGGCCACAGTCGGGCCGTCCAGACTTCCTGGCGTCAGCTGCTGCCGAAGGCCCGACTCGCCCGCCTCGCACTCAGTCAGACCCTCTGACCTGGGTTCGGGGTCACTACTGTCCCAGCGGGAGACCCCGCGTCTAGGAGCGGCTCGGCCGGCACCGCGGCGCGTCAGGCCCAGTCCGGCATCGTGTCCGAACAAGCCTTCATCTGTCAGGGTGGTCGCGCCGTCCGGCGAGGAGATCATTTCCTGGGATGGTGCCGAAAATGGGCTTCAGAAAAAAACACAGCGAAAAGCTTGGGCGGATGAAAGGAGCGGAAGCGCAGCCCAAGATAAATGCGGGGTAAAATCAACCGAGCGCTGAGACAAATGACGAATAGAAGGCGTCACCGCTGGCGACGGAGCTCATCGCCAGCGCGAACGCAGGCAGAGCATATGTTCGGCACGCGGTAGTCCCGCTCTGTTCCCCGCCGCCTGTGAATACTAAGTCTAGTAATATCGCCGCGAAAGGTTTCATCAAGGCACAAGGAGTCCGCTCGGGCGTCTGAATGCCGGCCAGACGCCATTCCAGCCTCAATTGTCGGCAGATATCAACCAGATACATATGGGCGCCACCCGCGCCCACCCCGAGCATACGGCAGCCGCGCCCAATCTGAACAGATGCCAGCCGCGCCCAACACGAACAGATGCCACCCATGCACACCCCAAACAACTGCCACACATGCACACCCCAGACAGATGCCACCCGCGCTCAACCCGGACAGATGCCACCCGCGCTCAACCCGAACAGATGCCGCTCGTGCACACCCTGAACAAATGTCACCCACGCACACCCTGAACAGATGCCACCCACGCACATCCCCAACAGATGCCAATTCTGCACACCCTGAACAGGTGCCACCCGCGCCCTCCCCGAACAGATGCCACCCATGCCCAACCCGAACAGATGCCACCCACGCACATCCCGAACAGATGTCCTTTCACACATCCCGAACAGATGCCACCCATGCACATCCCGAACAGATGCCACCCATGCACATCCCGAACAGATGCCACCCATGCACATCCCGAACAGATGGCCTTACGCACATCCCGAACAGATGCCCTTACGCACATCCCGAACAAATGCCCTTACGCACATCCCGAACAGATGCCACCCATGCACATCCCGAACAGATGGCCTTACGCACATCCCGAACAGATGCCCTTACGCACATCCCGAACAGATGCCACCCACGCCCACCCCGAGCAGATGCCCTTACGCACATCCCGAAAAGATGCCACCCACGCACATCCCGGACAGATGCCACCCACGCACATCCCGAGCAGATACCACCCACGCACATCCCGAACAGATGCCACCCACGCACATCCCGAACAGATGTCACCCACGCACACCCCGAATACGCGTTATCCGGGTGCAACTCGGACGGCGCGCCGTTTGCCTTTGACCTGGTTCGATGTTGAAGCGACGCCATCGACCGTCATCCTCAGCTTCCTGAGCACGTGCTTCCGAGCACGTATCGACACAATGGCTCATCAATGTCCTGGAATACTCCAAGTGTTGTCTCACGGGCGGGAGGTGAATGCAAATACCACTCTAAAGAGCATTGCACGTGCGTTGATCTGGTCTTTAGGCAGGTAGCCGTACGTATGGCGACAGGTAAGAGACGAAACGACCACCTGTCAAACACTAGAATACCTCGGATGGCTCACATCCAAAACAAAACTCACATCAAAGCACCCAAACTGCGCGTGAGGCTCACAAGATCATTACGACCGGGCACATTGAGAGGAAGCATTGCATGATCGATCCGACAGCGCGCTTATCAGAGGCGCCAACACGCCACTAGAGGTTTTGTTAGTTTGATTGCTATTTTCGATTATGGACATGAAGCAGAAGACGATATGATAAGTCGACCGCCGCAAGAGCGGAATGTTTAAATCTAAGCGCACCTTCTAACAATAGCAATATGAAGTTAGCGCCGTCAGGGAACCCACGACCCACCACCCGCTCGTCCGACCTGCAAGCCGAGACGATCAGGCGTCCGCCGCTCCAGTTTACACGCATAGTGGCCTCCGGCCGGCGGCGGACGCCCGGCCCGGTAACGCCAATCAGTCACCCGTCAGCTGCCCGAGCCCGCTGCAAGCTTTTAGACAAATCGTTTGGTTTAAAAAAAGAAATGCCTGGCAAACTTTTGCTATCTGCTGCGC